ATAAACAATAAGTTCATTGTAAGCAACTTCCAAAAACTCTAGAATTGACAGAGACATCTCACTGCCTGAACAGTTATTCTGTATTGTTGGGACATCCATCTTCAGCCTACAGGCTCATATCAGGCAGACTTTTCCATGAGGCAGAAAATTTCAAAGACAGTTCCACCTATATTGACAGTTTGTCAGTCACTTTTTTCTGTGTCCTGTAGAATATCTAGCAAACTCTTTCATGAAGCAGGAACCTTGAAGGATCATTTTACCTTTAGGTAAGTTCAGCAGTCATTTCTTTGTGGGTCCTACATGTCCAGTTCATCCAACATACCTCAAGCAGTCCAAGCAAGAACAGTTTCTTGCCGAAATGGCTAACAAACTCTATAAGGAACCTCTTTGATGCCCATTTTCCTCTTGAAGTTATTGGTGCTGCCAGGAGCAGTTGTGTCTCATTGTCATGAAAGGTCCTAAGGTATTAAAACATTTAAATGCCATGTTCTGAAGGCCTCTGAAAGATTTGAAGAATACATATCTAAATGAAATAGGTCTCTGTATGTTTAGAAAATCTAACTAACATGACTTTTTGACTATTATAGATGATTATCTATTAACCTATATTTCTTAATTATACATTATATTTCTTAATTATATATTTTTAAAAGTGCTGGACAAACACAATACCTTAATCAAGATCAGAAATACATATACACAGTATAACAAAATTAACCTTAAATTTGTATCAATAAACCAAGATCCATACCAATGCAAAGTATCTATTTCTATAGCAGAGGTTGTAGATGATGCCAAGGAGACAGAGTTTTTGGTCACAATCAGGCTAGTGCACATGCAGACTCACAGAATCTCCGACAGCATTGAGAAGATCTACACACATTCAAAACAGACACAATACCAGCATGGAGAAGGGGAAGTGGGCACAAAGTACCACCTCTAACCAAGAAATTATTTGCAATTGGTAACTTCTGGGAGAGGGGCATCAGATTCCTTCATTGAAGTAACACTGGGTGTTTAACTACATCAGGGCAGGCTGCATGTTCAACACAGAAGACTCCAGTTGGTTTTCTTTTGCTCTTTTTTATTTTTTAATGCTTTTTGTTTGTTTGTTTTATTTGGGATCTGTTTTTTTTTCTTTTGAGAGAGAGAAAGAATATGAACTGGGATGGTAGGAAGTGGGGTTTTCTGGGAGGAGTTGAAGGAGGAAAATGAACATGATCAAAATACATTGTATGAAATATTTTAAAAATAAAATTTTAAAGAGCCTAAAATAGAAAACTTTTTAAACTTTTGACCCATCTTCCCCTGATCTTCCTGAATAGATGTTCCCTTCTACTTTTTACTATTTCTCAAGTGACAACATCAATACTCTCTGGAATGAATTGATTTGCATTTCTATTTAGTGCTAGTTTCCCCAGAGTTTGTTTTATATTGTAGCTTCTCACTGCTCTGTTAAATTTTAAGGTGAGAGTGATTGTTTCTTAAACTTTCTATAATCTAACTACAAAACTGTCTGTATGTATTTTCCTTCATGCATAATCTATGGGAAAACACATAAAATTAAAAGTAGGACATTTGGGAATATGAAAGAGAAAAATGTGGAAAGGGAAATAATAGTAACAGATGCGTGAATTAGATCAAATCACATTAAATGCATATGTAGAACATCATAATGAAAGCCCTTATGTTGTATTATTAATAAGCCAATAAATGTGTTAATAAAAGGAAATGTATATTACCCTATAAAGATTTCAAACTTTGTATTTTGAGTTAGCCCGTCTCTTATTAAAAACAACACTGCTTGAGTTGTAATAATTTAGTTTGGGGATATGTGTTAGGTATGTATTAGTGTCAAATGTTTAGCTGATGAATTATGATTATGGGTAGTATTCCATACTATATCTCATATTTTTCTAATATACAAATATGTATGTTTGAGTATATTTGTATGCATGCTGTGTGTGCACATGTGTGAAGGCTTATGTATGTGTGTGTTTTTCATGTGAATTTTATATCACAAGCATCCACCACTAGTCACAGCCTTTTTCTGTGGTTACAAACTCAGAAGTTCATG